GGGGGACACGAAAGTCCTGCAGAGTGAGCTGGACTGGACCCAGACCAGAGGTTGGACCACGTGAACTGGACCAACGACTACAACCAGAGGTGAGTTGGTTATTGACTTATAGAGAAACCAAATTAAAATCATTTGTCAAGATGACCACCGGGGGCGCCGGTGTGTTTCAGTGTGTAGGTGGATAACTACTCATTCTAATCCCTGGAATCCCTCACTGCTCCTGGGTCACTTCTATTCCCATTAGTTTGACTCAAGGAGATTAGACACAGACAGTAGAGGGCGCCAGAGAGCATGAAAAGAACAAGAAAGAAGATATCATTTTGGAAAAACGTCGTTAGTCAAAGTGACATAATATTCTGTTAGGAGCATCAGGTGACCTGTGAGTGTGTGTGTGTGTGTGAGTGTGTGTGTGGCTGCAGCAGCTCAGTGACAGCTGTGATTCTTCAAAACTAATTTCAGCAGAAAGAAAAAAGTAAAATAAATGAGTGTGTGGAGTGAGAAGAACATCTGGCTCTTCATCATCATCATCATCATCTTCATCACTGCAGCTCAGCTCTGACTCTTCATCAGGCCAAACTTTTGTTTTTGTCCAAACCAGTTAGAGCAGGTAATTATCATTATCACAGCAGGTAACGCCCCCTACTGGCCCCTCCTCTACTCTACCCTCAGGCTCCTTCTCCTCCTCCTCTTCCTCCTCCTTCTCCCTCCTAACATTATCATCTTTTTTTTCACCTCAAACACTTCCTCCATCAAAACCAGTGGTTCTCAAACAACGGCATATGTGCCATTTGTGGTACTTTAGCTCCCTCTAGCGGTACAAGTGGCAATCTGACGCCCTATATAGTTAGGGGAGTTCTGTTCTGTATATATGGTGTATATATGTATATATACAGTATATATATACATATTGTAACCATAAATATATATAATATACATATACGGACTGCATGTGTCATATATATTTACATTTCTACTGTATGTATATGTTTATACACACTTCTAAATCAGGTAGAGCCTGAAGGAGCGCATGAGAAGCAGATCGCATGTATCTGCTGCCCTCTAGTGGATCTATTCTATTGAACAAGGCTTTCAGCAGACTTGTTGTCCTCAAACTTTCTGTCACTTTTTTGATAAAAGTAAAATTAAAATAACTAGTTTAACATTTCTGACATTACTGTAGGTAACAAGGTGTAGTACCAGTGTATTTATAGTATACATTTATAGACCAGGAGTACTGTATTTATACAGTACTCCTGGTACTCCTGTGTACTATATGTGACTGTGATAAAAAAGAACTTAAAAATAATAATTTTTATTGTCTTTATTGTTTCAAATTCACCAAAAATGTGTTAATTTTTTTTCTGCATAACTACATCCAACAGCATTCAAAGTTGTCACTGTGACCCCCTTCCCCCCCACCCTCACCCAACAGTGACCCTCCCAGCCAGCGGTCAGGTGTGGGGCCCTCAGGCAGGCTGGGTAAATCATGACATCATCATTATCATCACCACCATCAGCATCAGCGTGGTCACGACGTCGCAGCATCATCACATGGCTCAAACGGCAGAGAAAACGGACGGAGAAAACTACGTTACAGTCAGTCCATCGCTTAACTGTTAGCTTCCCGCCGCTAACCGTTAAAACAGCTCGATGTTGCACGTGACCCTTCTGAGAAAACGCTGCCCTCTTTTTATATGGAGTCGATACAAGATGTTAGCATGAACATGAGTTTGTACACGGAGTATGAGTCAACACACCATCGGTACCAGGTACCGATACACACTCCACTTCCTGTCCCACAGTATCCACAGACAAACACGTCAGGAGCAGAACTGGACTCAGGAATGAGACAAATAAAAAAAAACTCATAGTATTCATGTCAAATATTTGTCACAGGTTGTAGAAAATATTCTTTAGAAGTCCTGTCCATAACAAGGCCCCCGCCCCCAGATTTATTATTTTACCCCAGTGCTCCATGTATCCCTGAAAATTGCACCAGCACAAAAAATATGGAGATTAAAAATAAAATACACCATTGGTATTTTGAACTTTCGAAGTACTACTACGAAGTCAGAAATGTTCCTTTATTATTTTTTTTTTGGTAAATGTACATTTTTGTTTGACTGCTGGTACTTTTTTTTTTTTTTCAAATGTAAGAGCTTTAATTCCCACAAAATAAAAGGTTTCTGGCTTTAAGTCCTGCACATTTAGAGAATCCAAAGATTCAACGGCATCTTTGCATTTTATTCTGCTCGTCGTTGTTATAGTTTCTGGTAGGTTTTATACGTAAAAGTGCTAAAAAGTACACATACCGTACTTATGGTATTTCGTCTGTGCATCATATCGCAGTTTTTCTACATCTTTAATTCATAATTCAAAGACTCTTGTTTGGTTATTTGGCCGTGTTTGTTATTACTCTGTGTTTTGCATCTTTACGTTTTATTGTTTTTGTCTTAGTTTATGGCTCTTATCTCCTTTGGTAACGTCTGAAAAATACAGTTTACCAAAGAATTTACAGGGAAAAAAAGGTTCATAAAAGTTCAACCTCAAAATGTACTTTCTTCTAATTTCCATTTTTGTCAAATATAAACATTAACGGTGAAAACGCAGGGTTAGAACTGTTCAGAAATCCCTCTCTGTTTGTAGACGTCGTCAAACAACACGTCAGTGACCGATTTTACTTCGTGTCTCAGGCTGAGGTTAGCGCCTAAATCAGATTTGTTGCTTCACTTTGCTAAAATTAGTGATACCTTTGTCGTCCCTAATCCCCAAAAGAAAACAACCATTTCCGTATTTAGCGGCAAATGATTTAGCAGCAACCAAATCCAAGCATAGCAGCTGTCGTAGCAGCTAACGTAGCCCAACTCAACTGCTAACAAAGTAGCCGTCATAGCCAACTTTAATTGCTGTCACACCTAAAGCTACGTAGCTAATGTCAGATATTAAGTGAGCAGCAGTCAAAGCAAACTTTTCACCTCTATCGTAGCTAAACGTTTCTGCTTCTTCAAGGTTAAACTTAGCTTAACCATAGCCAAACTAGGCTAATATTTTGGCTGGACTAGCCGCTACTAGGACCTGCTGCTATCATTGTCTACGTAAACAGCTAACGTTCCTCAACTTAGCCGAACTTAGAAACAGTCATTGCCAAGTTTGACTGCTAAAATTCGTAACCTCTCCGGGTATCACTTAAATATTAATTTTGCTTAATATGAGCAGCCGATATTTGGACGCTAACACGGACAAACGCTACGTAAATTCAAATTGATTCGAAAAAAATACCAAAAGCCACAAAAATTGGTGTTTAAACCGTCAACTGTTTGTCCAAACTAACTTGAACCGCCATTAGTTTTTATAATTTTTGTGACAGACATTTTTATCAATTCTACGTTACGACGAGTGTAACCAGATGAACGACCTCATTATTTTGTAGATGAGTTAGCTTGTTTTGGGTGCTAAATCCTGCCCGTTCATCTCTCTCATCTTTAACACTGTAGAACGAGATGTTCAGGATAATAGTGACATAAAAAAAATGTCGTCCGAAAACTCTATGAAACTAAGAATTTGTCACAAAGTCCATCAACGACTGCCTCCTGAACCACTTGCATAAATCTCTGTTTAAACATCTGCTATATACAATAATACAGTTTACCGTTACATTTGTCCAAGTACCTCCAGTACTTTCGGGACCTGCGTACTCCTCTCTGTCATGTTTCGTTACATTTGTAGTACCTCCAGTACTTTCAGGACCTGCGTACTCCTCTCTGTCATGTTAGCGCCAAGACCAAAAAAATCAAACGTCAAATTCATTCTTTTACAGTAGAATACAACAAACATCTCTACGCAGAAACAGAAAGACAGTGTGTTAGCATCAGATGTGAAAGTCGGGGACGACGCTGACATACGTATATGAGTAGTGAATTTACCGAAACAGATGCTAACTGTTCTGTTATAATATTTCCAACAACAGCTAATTTAATCTTTAATATTATCTTTACTCCTAACAAAATATGACCAGTTTGAATACATTGGTTGGAATTCAACAACGACCTCAACAACAGTACCTCTGAGGACCCCTAGGGGGCGTCTACCCCTTATTGAAGATTTTTTTAGACTATTTTATTTAAGAGATTTAAAGGAACCATGGAATATTTTCTCCATAAACATGGGCGTCTGTTCCGGTAAATGTCAACGTATATGCAGATGACTCTATTTTACTAAAAGTTAAAAATGAAATCTGTTTCTTTTTACCAGACCAGCACCAAACCAGAACTGTGTTCCTCTCTACTCAAACTTCAAAATATTAAAAAAATTACTCACATATACCTAAGAAAAGAACGAACTCCGCAGCGACTTCAAAGCCTCACATATCACGAAAGCCTACGTGGGTCTGTCGGGTTTCAAGCATTTACATTTGCCCTAGATCGGTCGAAAGTTCTGGAACACTTGAAACTCGACCTGTGAACATCTGATGGTCGACTAAACTAAGTTACTGATTTAGGGTTTCTGCCACTAAAACGACAAAGGAAACAAACCGAAGCACAACAACGCTATCGTAACCACTACAAAACAAAGCCGCCATTTTTCTCCGCCTCAAGGAATCCAGATTTTTTTTTTGCCTAAAAATCAGGTGAGTGAACCAGAAACACTCACTACGTCGTTGTTTTTTTTTTTTTTTGTACAATAATCCATTCAATATCAATCAGTGCACAAAAGTAAAAGACAAAAGCACACAGAGTGAAATTGATACGGCTTAAAAGGAGGGATGTCCGATATTAACTCCGATATCGTCCAAACACTTCATTTCCGATTCCAATATGAACTGATACCGATATAGTAGGGCAGTGGTGCCCTGGTGGTTAAGGAAGGTAAGTGCCGCCTGTTCACTAAGGTGATGGGTTAAACCAGTGTTTCTGTTTCAATTATTTTCTGCCATGCCACCACTAGGGGGCAGAATTCTCTCCTGCCACCGAATTGAAATACTACTAAGAGCCTGTTAATATTTATTTATTTATCTGTTCAAACCACTGTCTGGTTCTTGGGACCAGCATTTTACAAACAATCACATGATTATTAAAACAGATTAATAAAATGAGCTGCAATGCTGCCATCTAGTGGCTTTCACTCTCATATACAGATGTTTTTTTCCCAAAACTATTTGTAGGTCGCACATCATTTGGCGAAAACCCAGGCGTTATGTTATCGGGTTTTCATTATCGGAGGGAAAAATCGTTAACGATTCTTTCAGATATTACGTCATTATGCTAACATCGGACATCCCTACCTGAAAGGATTTTTTTTCTCCTTTTTACTTTTTTTTTTACGTGAGTCTAAAATACACATAATTCCAGCTTAAGAAGATTTGGATCCATCGAGAAAAACATCAGCAGTTCTGATAAAGTCCAGCGTTCCTGGCTTTTTTGACGGACCTTAGGCAACAACGCCATGACGCTTCAGTTTGGTCTGCTGGGGTCCGGTCCAGTCCGGTCCGGTCCAGTGAGGTCCAGCTCAGATGTGTAGTGCTGTGAGCCAGCAGGTACTGGGCAGATGGCAGTCGCTGATCTCTGGGGTGGACAGTTGGTCACAGCCCACTGGACTCGGCCCAGTTTCTGTCCGTGGTACTGTTACAGCACAGCTAAGCTCA